ATGCCAGATAATCCCCCAATCCCAGATAATCCCCACCCCTAGAAAAATCACTGAATCATGGATAATATCTAAAACTCTGGATAGGAGGCCAGGAATGGTGGTTTACGCCTGTAATCCCAGCACTATTGGGATTGCTTGAGCTCAAGAGTTCAAGATCAGCCTGGGCAACATAGCAAGACCCTGTCTCTACTAAAAATATAAAAATTAGCCACACGTGGTGCTGCACACCTGTGATCCTAGCTACTCGGGATCACAGAATTGCTTGAACCCAGGAGGTGGAGGTTGCAGTGAGCCAAGATTGCACCACTGCACTCCAGCCTGGGCAACCGAGGGAGACTGTGTCTCAAAAAAGAAACTTGGATAATCTCCAAAACTGGGTAGGCTGTGTTCAAACAGCATCATCCTCCGAATCTCTGGACTCCAGTTCATTGAAATGCTGAATAATTTCCAAATTCAAGATATCTTCATACTCTGGCTAGTGGATCAGTCTCTCAACCTCTAACCCGACACTAATTCACAAAACTTGGATTACTTCCCACATTCATTTATTTATTCACGAAATAATTACTGAGCACCTCCTGTGTGCTAGGTAATCCAAGGCCCTGGGGATAAAGTAGGAATACAGCAGATAATTCCTGCCCATAGAATTTGCATTTTAGGCCAGCTGGGATCACCTGAGGTCAGGAGTTCGAAACCAGCCTGACTAGCATGGAGAAACGCCATCTCTACTAAAATTACAAAATTAGCCAGGCATGGTGGCACATGCCCGTAATCCCAGCTACTCGGGAGGCTGAAGCAGGAGAATCAATTGAACTCAGGAGGCTGAGGCAGGAGAATTGCTTGAACCTGGGCGGGTGACCCTGTAGTGAGCCCAGATCATGCCATTGCACTCCAGCTTGGGCAACAAGAGCAAAACTCTGTCTCAAAACAAAAAAAAATTTGCATTTTAGTAACTCAAAATTTTAAATCTAATATCCTAGGTGATTCTCTAAACTTGAGATAATCTCCAAATTTCCTTTATTTATTTTCTTAAGAGATGGTCTTGCTCTGTCACCCAGGCTGGAGTGCAGTGGTACGAACGTGGTTCATTGCAGCCTCCAACTCCTGAGCTCAAGCGATTCTCTCACTTCAGCTGATCCTCTTCAGCCTCCCAAGTGGCTGGGGCTACAGGTGTACGCCACTATGCCCAGCTAATGGCTAATTTAAACAATTTTTTGGTAGAGATGGGGGGGCGTCTCCCTATGTTGCCCAGGCTGGTCTTGAACTCCTGGACTCAAGTGATCCTCCCACTTTGGCCTCCCAACCTCTTACCTTGGAGTTTCGAAGTGCTGATATTACTGGCATAAACCACTGTACCCCACCCACATTCCTTTAATTACAATTAAATCTCTAGCCTTGAGAATTTCAAAACCTGGGTAGCTTCCACACTTCCACTCCCCAGCTGCCCTGCCAATCCACAGCCCTCCCTCTCCGTAACCTTTTCTGCTTTCTCTTCCCAGCTCTGGGGTGTCACCAAACAAGGCTACCGCTGTCGGGGTGAGTGGGGCATCAGCAAGTGGGAGGGAAGCCTTGGCCCACAGGCTGGAAGAATGGACAGCACAGATTGGACCCCTGGCCATTAACTGCTGCCTTCCCCCAGAGTGCGGTCTGTGTTGCCACAAACACTGCAGAGACCAGGTGAAGGTGGAGTGTAAGAAGAGGCTAGGGGCCAAGGGCGATGCGGGGCCCCCCGGAGCCCCTATCCCACCCACGCCAGCTCCCCACGCCAGCTGTGGTAAGACCTAGAGCACCGCAGTGCTGGGAGGGGGCTGGGGGAGAAAGGGGGTTAAGTCCAAGGTCACGAGGCCCTTCCTATCAGACCCACACCCCTTCCATCCGTCCACAAACAGGCTCTGAGGACAATCTCTCCTACACGCTATCCCTGGAACCTGAGACTGGGTGCCAGCTTCGCCATGCTTGGACCCAGACTGAATCCCCACACCCTTCCTGGGAACCAGAGACGGTGAGGAGAGACTGCCCTTACCCCCAGCCGGATACAGGGGACACAGGCCATTGGCCTGGGGGAGACTGGACAGATGTGGAAACCCATAGGAAAGTTAAAAATATGCAGAAGTCCTTGACTGCTGGGGTGGGAGGGTATGGATACTGGTTAATTTTTTTTTTTTCTAGACGGAGTTTCACTCCTGTTGCCCAGGCTGGAGTGCAATGGCACGATCTGGGGTCACTACAGGGTCATCCTCCCAGGTTCAAGCAATTCTCCTGCCTCAGCCTCCTGAGTAGCTAGGATTACAGGCATGTGCCACCACACCCGGCTAATTTTGTATTTTTAGTAGAGACGGGGTTTCTCCATGTTGGCCAGGCTGGTCTCAAGCTCCTGACCTCAGGTGATCTGCCTGCCTCGGCCTCCCACAGTGCTGGGATTACAGGCATGAGCCACCGTGCCTGGCCTGACACTGGTTAATTTTTAATGCTGATAGAAAAATAGGCCGGGCATGGTAGCTCTTGTCTGTAATCCCAGCACTTTGGGAGGCCAAGGAGGGGGATCGCTTGAGGTCAGAAGTTTGAGACCAGCCTGGCCAACATGATGAAACCGCATCTCTACTAAAACTACAAAAATCAGCTGGGCGTGGTGGCAGGTGCCTGTAGTCCCAGGTACTTGGGAGGTTGAGGCAGGAGAATCACTTGATCCTGGGAGGTAGAGGCTGTAGTGAGCCGAGATTGCACCACTGCAGTCCAGCCTGGGCAGCAGAGCAACACCCTGTCTTGAAAAAAAAGAAAAATAGAAGTTTCAACGTGTTGGGGGTGGGGTGGGATGATAACCACTAGGAGAATAGAAAAAAGGATTCTAGCCAATAAGATAGCAAGAATGAAGCCAAATATGTCAGGAGCTACCGCAAGTGCTAATGGAGTCAACACCACTATTCGAGAGCAGAGACTCTCAGATAGGGTTACAAAAAGGGTTCCACAGGGGACATTCATTCATCTGGGACTTACCAGTCTGGGCGGGGCAGTGTTCCTGGCAGTGAAGCATCTCCTAGACATATGCTCCCCACATCATCTGACATCTTCCTTTCCTCCTTCCAGGTGCCCTGCCCAGTAATGGACCCACCATCAACCCCATCCTCCAAGCTGGATTCCTAGGCATCTCACAGTCTCCTCTCTCCCTCACTCCCTTCCCCAGTCAGTCCTGAGTCCTGCCGTAGGACTCTGGCAGGGCTCCCAGAGGTAGGACCCCCAGAGGCATCCGCCTTCCCATCCACATTGCCTTCGGTGGCACGTCCGTCATGATTTTCCCTGGAAGTGACTTTCCTCCCTTGCACGGTGGTGGATGCTAATCCACCTGCACTTAGTATCTGTGCAGCTCTGTGTTGGACACATTTAGACTCAGGCCTCATTTCACCAATTCTCCAAATCTCCATTTCACAGATAAGGAGACTAACGCTTCCTGAAGTTAAGCCAAGGTGGCACAGTTCCCAAGGGCTGGAGGTAGATTCAAACCCAGGTCTTCCGTCTGCTCTAAAACCGAAGCTCCTGACCAATACGCTACGGGTCAGGAGGGGGTGAGGACAGAGCAGGTCTCTGGGATTATAGACTTGGGAGAGAAAGCTGGGTAGTAGGTAGAGCAGGCAACCAATGGACACCTCAGTGAGATCACATCCATACTCTGCTCAGGAAAAAAGCCAGAGTCCCCACTATGGCCCACAAAGCCCCATGTGATCTGCCCCCATCACCCCTCCAACCTTACTTCCCACCCCGCACCTCTCTTCGTCCTGCTTCAGCTACACTGGCCTCAACGTACCCTGAATGTGCCCCAAATACTCCTACCTCAGGGCCTTTGCACTGGCTGCTCCCCTGCCTGGAATGCTTTTCCCCAGAGGCCTGTCTGGCCCCCTCTTTGGAGCTGTGCTCCAGTGGCACCTTCTCAGCGAAGCTTACCCTGACCATAGTCAAGATGCAAGTCCCCCGTCCCCTCCCAGTTCTGATCCTGCCTCCATGCTTTATTTTTTTATTTTATTTTAATTTTTTGAGACAGTCTCACTTTGTTGTCCAGGCTAGAGTGCAGTGGTACAATCTCAGCTCACTGCAACCTCTGCCTCCCTGGTTCAATAAATTCTCCTGCCTCAGCCTCCGGAGTAGCTGGGATTACAGGCATGCACCACCACACGGGGATAATTTTTGATTTTTAGTACAGATGGGGTTCCGCCATGTTGGCCAGACTGGTCTCAAACTCCTGGCCTCAGGTGATCCACCTGCCTCAGCCTCCCAAAGTGCTGGGATTACAGGCGTGAGCCACTGCACCCTGCCCCTGCTTTATTCTTCTGCACAGAACTTTCCCCATCTGACAGCCTATACTTTTTCCCTCTTTATCTCCCTTAACATCTGTCCTTCCTCACCAGGAACATCAGAACATCAGCTCCGGGACAGCAGAGATCTTTTTTTATTTTTTGAGATGGAGTCTCACTCTGCCGCCCAGGCTGGAGTGCAGTGGCATGATCTCAGCTCACTGCAATCTTGCCTCCCAGATTCAAGCAATTCTCCTGCCTCTGCCTCCTGAGTAGCTGGGTTACAGGCACCCACCACCACACCTGGCTAATTTTTGTATTTTTAGTAGAGACAGGGTTTCACTATATTGGCCAGGCTGGTCTCGGACCCCTGACCTCATGATCCGTCCACCTCAGCCTCCCAGAGTGCTGGGATGACAGGTGTGAGCCGCTGCCCCCGGCCAAGAGTAGGGATTTCTATCAACGTCTTTCACTGCTGCATCCCCCGTGCCTAGAACAGGGCTGGCTGGTGGTAGGCGCCTGACAGATGTTTGTCCGATGCCTGAGTGTCTCCTTACCCATGCCCAAGGCACAAGAAAGATGTGCTTTAGGGCAAAGAACCTTGAGGGTCAGAGCAGCAGAGGCCCATTCAGACCCAGGGAGCAGAGACACCCCCAACCCCTTCACAAACCCAAGCACCCCTGACTTGGGCCCTACAGGGAGAGGTCCTATAGCTGCCATAAATTAAATTTATTCTCCAGAGAACATGGCTCTTGGTATTAACGGGTACATGGGAGTAGGGCATTTGGGGCCTCAGGAATAGGAGATGATGGACCATATACCAAGGAAAGACTTAAACTGACTCCCCAGATGACCAACGGCACTGGCATCTCATGGAGGACCCCCGCCCCTGCCCACCAGTCCCCCTTTACTTCTTCTTCTTCTTCTTGCGGCCCCAGCACTGGGGGCCTGTCTTCCGTCCGCCTCCACCCTCTGTTCGGCTCCTCCAGGTGGGCATGGGAGCCTCCAGCTCATTTGGGCGGCCCCCCCGGTCTGGAACATTGCCCATAAGCACCTGAAAGTTTATGAGATTTGAGTTGCAGAGGAAAAAAGTATCCTGGACAAGGGGGCCACAGAAGAAAGGGAACAGCATAAGGCTGAAGAAGGAAGGCAGATGTCGACTATTCGAGTACAGTGGCTGGGCGGGGGGAGGGATGAATTAGTGGAAGAGACAAGCATGAGCTTTTTTTTGGGTCGGGGGACACAGTCGCCCAGGCTGCAGTGCAGTGGCGAGAGCACGGCTCACTGCAGCCTCTGCTCCTGGGCTCAAGTGATCCACCCACCTCCAGCTCATTTTTTTCTTAACTTAAATTTTGCCTTAATCTTTGCTGTGCTAGACTTTATTCCCCAATACTCATTTTACATAAGAATACTTACAGAAGTATGCGGCTAGATACCTAATTACTAAAACAGAGGGCAGGCAGAGTCTCACACTGTTGCCCGGGCTGGAGTGCAACGGCGCGATCTCGGCTCACTGCAACCTCTGCCTCCCGGGTTCAAGCGATTCTCCTGCCTCAGCCTCCTGAGTAGCTGGGATCACAGGTGCCTGCCTCCATGCCTGGCTAATTTTTTATATTTTTTAGTAGAGACGAGGTTTCACTATGTTGGCCAGGCTGGTCTTGAACTGCTGACCTCGTGATCCACCCACCTTGGCATCCCAAAGTGCTGGGATTACAGGCGTGAGCCACTGCACCCGGCCCACAGAGGGGATTTCTGTGTGGTTTATTTTTATTTTTTGAGACGGAGGTTTGCTCCTTTTGTCCAGGCTGGGGTGCAATGGTGAGAACTCGGCTCACCATAACTTCCACCTCCCAGATTTAAGCAATTCTTCTGCCTCAGCCTCCCAAGTAGCTGGGATTACAGGCATGCACCACTATGCCTGGCTAATTTTGTATTTTTAGTAGAGACAGCGTCTTGGCTGGGCGTGGTGGCGCACGCCTGTAATCCAAGCACTTTGGAGGCCAAGGCGGGCGGATCATCTGAGGTTGGGAGTTCAAGATCAGCCTGACCAACATGGTGAAACCCTGTCTTTATAAAAAAAAATAAATAAAAACAGATTAAATAAAGAAAGAAAGAAATAAAAGAGACAGGGTCTCTTCATCTTGGTCAGGCTAGTCTCGAACTCCCAACCTCAGATTTTCCGCCCACCTCCGCCTCCTATAGTTCTGGGATTACAGGAGTGAGCCACTGTGCCTGGCAGTATTTCTTTAAAAAAAAAAAAAAAAAAAGGTTAAAAAAACAACACAATAGATACTGTGAGGTGATGGGGAAGGATTTTAAGCCCAAGCTGGAGAAGTGGCCGGGGGCTCAGTAAATAGTTGGACTTTGTTTTCAAATCATTATAGAGCCACAGAAGCGTTCTGAGCTGCGGAGTCTACAGTCAAGCTTTTGTGTGAGAGAGGTCCTTCTGGCTGCTGTCTAGTGGGTGGATTAGAGGCAGCGAGTCTGAAGCCTGGACTGGAGCAGAGGCTGAAAGGCCAATCTGAAGGCCAAGGATGCCAGGGCCCTTCCCTACCCCAGATGCTCACCTTGTTGATGGCACAGCAGGTCCCTCTGCGGACAGCCACGCTGGTGGCTGGGACGAGACGAGACAGATCGGCTCGGGCAGCCAGGACATGTGCGAGGGAGATGTCCGATTCTGGGGTGAGAAACTCTCGAAGTGGGATCAGCACTGCCCTCATGGCCGCTCCTTGAGCCTGGAGTGGTGAGGAGGTACAGAGAAGGTCCCCGGGTGGGACCTGTCATCTTGGAAGTATCACTTCCCCACTCAAGACTTCACTGCCCACAGCTCTCAATACATTTTTTTTGAGATGGACTCTCGCTCTGTCTCCCAGGCTGGAGTGCAGTGGCACAACCTCGGCTCACTGCAACCTCTGCCTCCAAGGTTCAAGCCATTCTCCTGCCTCAGCCCCCTGAGTAGCTGGGATTACAGGCACTTACCACTATGCTCGGCTAATTTTTGTATTTTTAGTAGAGATGGGGTTTCACCATGTTGGTCAGGCTGGTCTCGAACTCCTGACATCAGGTGATCCACCCACCTCGGCCACCTACAGTGCTGGGATTATAGGCATGAGCCACCGTGCCTGGCCAAATATTTATTTTTTGAGACAAGGTCTCACCGTCACCCAGCCTGGAGTGCAGTGATGTGATGGTGGCTCACTGCAGCCTCAATCTCCTGCTTTCAAGTGAGCCTCCTGCCCTGGCCTCCCAAAGTGCTGGGATTACAGGCATGAGCCACCATGCCTGGCTGTGCTCCTATCTCTTAAAGATGGGGTGGGGTATACCTCTGAATATACTCCCAGCTCAGAGCTAGGAATTCAACAATACCCTGGGGCCCTGAGATTCCAGGAGCCCCAAACCTCAAAAAATTCTAAAATGGCCACAGCCTCAGAACCTCCAAGAGGGTGATACTCCTGACCCTCATTCCTCCTCCGTGCAACTGCAGCCCCCCACAACTGGGCCTGTCCAATTCCGCCCAGTCCTCTGCCCACACCTCTGCCCGGTCACTCCAGTGGAAAGCAGATGTGGTGAGGTCAAGGCGCTTGAGGAGGAGACAGCGGCAGCACTGGTACTGATCTTTCAGGCTCTGGGACAGAGACTCCAGCGCTTCCTGGGAGAAAAGGTCTCAAGATCAGGCTAGGGGTTCCTCTCACTGCCACCTCTGATGAGGACACAGTTCACATTCAGTCAGTCACACACAGTCTTACCCATCTGGGTGCATCTAGCGAGGAGCTGAGGAGGGGCTGCAGGGACCCGGGGGGCAGAGAAGGCTGCAGCTCTGAGATCTGATGAGAGAAGAAGTCAGAGGCCAACTGGGACAGGGAGGATGGAACCCTCTGTAAACCCAGTTCCCCACAGTCCTGAGGCCACAGATGCAAGAATGGCAGTCACTGCTGCAGAAAGAACATGCCAGTGGTTGGAACACTCCTTCCAGAGGTGCTAGGGAGAGAGGAACCTCTCCCCCACCCCCACCCCCGCCCCAGGAAAGTGGGGTAGCCCAGGAGGCAGGGGAGAGTGAGAATTGTTCTGACTCTACCTTAGCATGCAACTCCTGCAGCAGCTGGCTGGCGGGGGTCCCTGGTGCAGGTCTGGGCAGTCCCAGGGCTTGGAGGGTAAGGGCCAGTTCCTGGACCATGCCAGTTCCCTCCACCCCTTCACCAAGGGGTGGCCCGGGACTGGGATCCAGCAGAGAGCGCAGGTGCAGGAGGTGGGTGGCTTGGAGCTCTGAGCAGAGAAAGCCTGGAAGTAGGAAACCGGAGCTGTGCACTCAGGGAGGCTGCTACCCCATCCATTCATCTTGGTCAAAAAGCTCCACCGGCTTCAAAACCTCCACCTTTGGCTAGGCACAGTGGCTCATGCCTGTAATCCCAACACCTTGGGAGGCTGAGGCCGGAGGATTGCTTGAAGCCAAGAGTTCAAGACCAAATAGGGCAACGTAAAGAGACCCCATTTCCTTTTAAAAAAGAAAAAAGCCTCTACCTTCTAGTCTCACCTACCTAAAGCCTTGGTTCCGCCTCCAGTGTAAGCCCCACCCTTAAGACCCTGTCCCCTCCTCCGAATTCGACTCCTGCCTCCTTCCAAACGCCCTCCTAATCCAACCCACTTGAGCGCCCAGATCCTCCAATTAAAATTCTACCCCCAGGCGGGAAGTGGTGGTTCCTGCCTGTAATCCCAGCACTTTGGGAGGCCGAGGCGGGCAGATCACCTGAGGTCAGGGGTTGGGGATCAGCCTGGCTAACAAAGTGAAACCCCGTTTCTACTAAAAATACAAAAAATTAGCCAGGCGTGGTGGCATGCGCCTGTAATCCCAGCTACTGGGGATACTGAGGCAGGAGAATCGCTTGAACCCGGGAGGCGGAGGTTGTTGCAGTCAGCCCAGATCACGTCATTGCACTCCAGTTTGGGCAACAAGAGTGAAACTCTGTCTCAAAAAATAAATAAATAAAAATAAAATAAAATTCTAACCCCGCCTATCTCAGAGAGAGTCCTCTGCCCACCACAATATGCGCACCCCACCCACTTCGTACCCTCTGGGCCGCCCCAAAGTTCTGACCACTCCCCCTTGGGAACCTCGATTTTCCCTAAAAAGTCGGAGCCCGCCGCTCCTGAGGCTGTGGACTAGCCACTCCCGCACCCCGGGACTCACGCAGCAGGCGCAGGCTGGAGCCGGGTTCCCGAAGCTCAGCCGCCCCATCCCCACCACAGAGCGCGCGATCCGGACAGTGCAGCTCCCGCAATAGGCGGCCAAGCTGCCGCAGAAAGTCCTCCTCCGCGCCGGGGCCTGCGGGGACAGGGGTGTCACGGCGCGGTGGCCCCGCAGCGGGCCCCTGCCACCCTCCCGCTCCGTGCATACCGTCGCCGGCGCTCAGCACCTCGGCGCCCGCCTCTCGCTGCTGCTCCAGGGCGCCCAGCGTCGCCAGCTCCGCCGCCAGCTGCGCGCACAGCGCCCTGAAGTCTGGGCATGAGGCGCCCCGCGACGCCAGCCCCGGGACACCCCCATACCTGTGGGGGCCGAGGTAGCGGGAAGGGGCGGGGAGGTCACTGAGAATCCCTTTCTGTCGACGTCCAGGGAGCAGACCTGGCCTTCCTGCACCCACCAGCCTCACCGCACACCCTCTTACCCTAGAGCCCGCAGGTCCCGGGCCACCGCGGCCCCCTCCCGCGCTTCCGCCTTCACCCCCTCCATGAACGCGTCGCCTCGGCGCCAGGCGCGCGCCCCCTGGCGGCCGGCGCCAGGCTCCGCCCCAGAAGCGCCGCGCGCACGGGCTCCCAGCGTCTGGCGGTACCAACCAATCGGCATCTTCCCGCGCAGGGACTTCGGTGCTCCCATTGGCTCAGGGAGACGCCGGACCCGCCCCCCCGGTCCGCCCGCCCCGCCTCTCGAGTAACCTGTCCAGTTTCTAGGAACCCCCCTACCCGAGATTGCGGTGCATCCGGATCTCAGCTGTCACAAGCTGGCGGCGGGTGTCACTGCTGCAGGGACATCAAAACAACATCGGTTTCCTTTTCCTTCTCCTCCCTCAGCTGTCTTCTGCTGGTGTTTTGTTGGTTTGTTTTTGAGACAGGTCTCGAGCTATCCGCTCAGGCGGGACTGCAGTGGCGCCATCACGGTTCACTGCAACCTCGACCTCCTGGGCTCAAGATATCCTCCCCACCTCAGCCTCCCAGGTAAATTTTTTAAAAGTAGTCAGGCTTGGTGGCTTGCACCTAGTAGCTGGGACCACCGTCGCAGACCACCACGCCTCGCTGATTTTTGAATTTTTTTGTAGCGACAAGGTTTCCCCATATTGCCCAGTCTAGTTTCCAACTCCTGGGTTGAAGCGATCCGCCTGCCTCGGCCTCCCAAAATTCTGGGATTACAGGCGTGAGTCACCGCGACCGGCCAATTTTTCTGTTGTTGTTTTAAAGTTTTGTAAAGGCCGGGCGCGGTGGCTCACGCCTGTAATCCCAGCACTTTGGGAGGCCAAGGCGGGCAGATCACCTGAGGTCGGGAGTTCGAGATTAGCCTGGGCAATATGGTGAAACCCCATCTCTACTAAAAATACAAAAGTGAGCCGGGCATGGTGGCATGCGCCTGTAAGTCCCAGCTACTTGGGAGGCTGATGCAGGAGAATCTCTTGAACCCGGGAGGCAGAGGCTGCAATGGGCCGAGATCAAGCCACTGTATTCCAGCCTGGGCAGCAGAGGGAGACTCCATGTCAAATACAATAAAATTTTGTAGAGGGGGGTCTAGCTATGTTGCCCAGGTTTGCCTCTAACTCCTGAACTCAACCAATCCTCCCTCCTCCACTTCCCAAAGTTTTGGGATTACAGGCTTGAGCCACTGTGCCTGGCCCTGTCCTCTGCTCTTAAAGCAGCCCAGACGGAGTGGTGTTCACTCAACTCTGCCCAAAAGCCAAAACTTCCTCCCTCCTTCCACCTCAGCGTTTGAATTATGTAAGGGACCCAGGAATCCTGGCACACCCCTCACACACCAGGCCCTCCTCATCCATCACAATGTGCCTGTTTGGCCTTCACTCCTCTCCCTTCTAAGCCTTGGAGTGAGCAGGTGCAATGCACCATAGTAGTTAAGAGATTACACCCTAGGAGTCAGGCAGACAAGGGTTAGGGTTTGATTCCATTACTCAGCAGCTCCGTGTTCCTACCAAATTGCTTCCCATCTGTATAATGGGGATAATAGTACCTACCTCTTAAAGTTGCTGCTGAGGATTAATTAGAGTTTCATATATAAAAGGTGCTTAGCAGATATATAGGGAGTACTTAATAAAGAATAACTAATATATATATATATCCATAGCATTTAATGTGTACTATTGGATGAAGCATCTTTATCTCTTTTACAGAGGAGAAAAATAAGTTTGAGAGAAGTCACAGAGTGAATTCATGGTGGTGCCAAGAAATGAAGATCAAATTCCAAATTCTATGCTTTTAAACCACTGAACCAATTTCCACTGTTATTACCACTATTGTTTTGTTGCTGTCGCTAAGAAAACATTGTATCAGAGCTCATCTCCTCCTTACTGTATCCTGGTATCCAGTAGTTCCTAGACATTCTGCTGGAAGTCAGGGATGGACCAGGAGCCTGGAGGGAAGAACAGGGATAGAACTTTTTCCTTGGCTGGGTGCAGTGGCTCACATCTGTAATCCCAGCACTTTGGGAAGCTGAGGCGGGTGGCTCATGAGGTCAAGAGACTGAGACCATCCTGGCCAACATGGTGAAACCCTGTCTCTGCTGAAAAATACAAAAATTACACACCTGTAATCCCAGCTACTCGGGGGCTGAGGCAGGAGAATTGTTTGAACCTGGGAGGTCAAGGTTGCGGTGAGCAAAGACCGCCACTGCACTCCAGCCTGAGTGACAAGAGCGAAACTCCATCTT